TGTTTAGACTCTGTCAGTACAGCGGGTGCAAATAAAGAGGCTGAAATAAAATGGTACAAAACTGTGCCCCAGTGTGCCAATTATACTGCTTTTAAACTTAATGAGAGCAATTGACTATTAAGCTGCAGCAGTGCAAAACGTAAAGCTCTGGAAATCTCAATTCATCCCACACTGCATGAAAAAAAAACAAACAAAAAAAACATTTTCTCATCAGTATTTCTGCCTTTTTTCCAGTAAAAATATCTAAACATTGTTGAGATACATTTGAGATGCAAAAACAAGTTAACCCTGTTGTCGAATGAATAAGATTAACATGATGCTACATTAGTGCTAACCTAGATCCTCAGTTAAATAGCCTACCTTAAATGATAAATATAATTATTCACATTTATCAGTTCTGTTTAAATTAATGCTGTTCTTTTGAGCTTTCTATTCAGCAAAGAACATAACATTTACAGATCACTTCCTATATTAATTTTGTGCAAAAACACACAATATAACAATCGATTTCAGCATTTACTCTCATTATACAGTCCGTATCAAAGCCTCTTTTCGTGCAGGCTTGTTAATTGAGTCCAACAGTTTCTTAAAGTGTTGTTAAAACTCAAGAATATATTTTGATTGAAATTTAACAAAAATATTAAATGTACCTTAAAATGTAACTTGCTAGTCAAAATTTTCCAAATTCTGTATTTATTTGTTTGTGTGTGTTAAAAAAAGTTAATAATAAACAAACTTAATAAATACATATACTTAATAAATTAATAAAATAAACTTAATAATAGATGTACATTTTGACAAAAAAAAAACAAAAAAACAATAAAAATAACTGTTGGGTGTTCAGGCATTTATTTTGGTATTTTCTTATAGTAGTATAGTAATTTTCTGCTCTCATATTTACAAAGCCACTGAATTATTTTTTAGAGTAAAGACAGTAATGGTTTTTACTGCATTTTTGATCAAATAAATACATCCTTGGTGAGCATAAGAAACTTCTTTAAAAAACAAAAAATCTTACCAACCCCAAACCTTTGAATGATATTTTGTGTGTGTGTGTGTGTGTGTGTGTGTGTCAGTACTTTTATGGTGTTTTGACCTTTTAAGAGTGTGACACCTCCAGTTTCCATTCACTTTCTGAAAAGTAGCCATGCTATTCTTCAGAAATGTTGCTTTTATGTTCCACAGAAAAAAGAAAATCATACCTGTTTGGAACGACATGAGGTTGAAGGAGAACATGTCGTTTTATTATATTTTCACATTGGTGAGTTTAGTGTGGTATTTTAGTCACTAAACTCCTTCTTCATCTGTTCTCTATACTTCATGTCAGCCCAT